TGTCACCGAAGAGCGCCACACATCCAGGGGGGAGGGGGGGGGGGGGGGGTGCCTGATGCTGAGAACCCCATAAGAGCGTGTGTGTGTTTGTGTTTTTGCACGCTGCTGAGGTCACGACACAAAGGTCATGATATGAAGTAAATCAAACCATAGATTGGGGGGACAGTAAAACAGACAACACGGGGGGGGGGGTAACACACGTCTCCATTACACTAAAAATAGACGTTGTGGAAAATGATCACATCACACGGACACGCAGGAGGCATTCACGGAGATTAGCGTTAACAAATTAGAGCACGCAGAGACTGCAACAACAACACGGGTGAAATATATCTGAGCAGAACACGGTCCGGTCCAGGGGGGGGTCGGAGGGCGGGGGGGTGTCCTGTGGCCGTTCACTGTGGGATCAGTCACATTCCACAAGTAATAAAGGCAGAGTGGAGAGAAGGAAACGACCAAATCAATATTCCTACGATCTCTGTGATATTAAATTTTTTTTTTATTCCGTTTCGGAAAGAAGCCAGAAGCAGAAAACGAAAGAAAACGTCAAACATACAAATATGTGGAGGAGGTAATAAAGTTTCAACATCCACAGGTCATGTTTAAAATGGCTACAAATTGCAGTAGCTGTGATTAGAAAGAACAGAGAGTCTTGGGTTCGATTCCCAGAGGAACCACATACTGACCCCGTGTTAAGAATGGGATGTTTAAATTATTATTATTAATAACTTATTGTCATCTTAACTTAAGTATTAAGCACATTATAAAAAATGTATATTTTTAATTCATTCATTTTTAATTCTCTTCACGGTGATGGATCAACTGATCCTCAGGAGAAGAGAACCGTCTTTAATCCAGCTTCATTTTTCCAGAACAATCATTTAAAAAATGTAAAACAACCACACACACATAGAGAGGTGTATTGTACTGTATTTAGGACACACACACACACATACACATGCAGTGACTGTCCCGGCCTCGTACAGTATTGTCCTCAGTTACTCAGGCAGAGACACAATGGCAGACGCCCCCATCAGACTGGAGGAAGTCGGCTGTCTGCAAGACAAACAGCAGCTGTGTGTGTGTGTGTGTGTGTGTTCGCTTTCAATCACATGACCTATAAAACACGTATTGTTTCGTTAATGAGGAAAGTACAGCAAAGTCGTACTATTTGTCTGGGAAATACTGCGTACTCTGTGTGTTTACAGTTTTACTCACTGGGTGATTTAGAATCTTTGAGTCTTTGTTTCACAAGTAAATGATTCATTCCTGCCTCACAGTGTCTCATGTATTCATCGGCTTCAGTGTGTACTACATATACACTGTGTATATTCTGTGTGTACTACATATGTTCTCTAACGTGTCACATGTCCGTCGGTGTATATTCTGTGTGTACTGCATATATTCTCTAACGTGTCACATGTCCGTCTGTCAATTCCAGGTTCCGACTGTTCGCGTAACTTCACGAGTCCTTTGGGTCTCATCGAGTCTCCTGGATTCCCAGACAAGTACCCTCACAACCTGGAGTGTTCCTTCATCATCATCGTTCCCCCAAGCATGGATGTCACCCTCAGCTTCCTGACCTTTGACCTGGAGAACGACCCCTTACCAGGCGGAGAAGGAGAATGCAAGTACGACTGGCTGGAAGTTTGGGACGGACTCCCCGGAGGTGAGACACTGATGATGACAGACAGGTATCCTAGGGGTCCACGGAGGAACTGCAGGTTGGGTTATAAAATATTAGACTAAGATTTTGCACCAGTTTAAAAAAAACTTATATTATTTTGAATATTTAAGAGCAATAGTCATTAGATTTTGTACCAGTTTAAAAAAAAAAAATTTATATTATTTTGAATATTTAAGAGCAAATCCAAGTCATTTAACAAACCAATCAATACTCAACAAACAGCAGCCAGTTGCCTATAATACCCACCATACCCCGTTTTAGCCACTCAGGGGTTAACCCACACACCGGAGAGAAAACGACGTGTACTCTCCACCACCGCCATCGTTATTGACTGAAGTGGAGTAGAAACTATTTTAGTGGTTGCGTTGGTAGATAAAAGCTGAGCTCAGAGGCAGGATGTTCGCTGCATCTCTGGAGGAAGAGCACTAATTTTTGAAGGGGAAAAGATTGAAGAGGAGGATGAAGAGGAGGAACAGTGGAGGGCAGGAACGGTTCTGGTTTGTTTTCTGGTACTAGTTTGGAAGGACTGCGATGATCGTCGTCGTGTAAACTGGGCGTCTCATCGATGGCAAAGCCAAGAAATTGACCAACGTAGATGATGTAGAAAAATGGCGTCCATATTTACTAAGACTGAGTGTCTGAGTCTGAAGAATCAGCGCAGGAGGTGCAGGTAGAAGAGCAGAGCAGAGCCAGCAGCTGTGGTTTTCTCTCTATGAATAACTTAACTGTAAACAGGAGTTTAGCCTGGAGGAAGAGGAAAGGTCAGGGAGGATTTAAAAAGGAAAGGAAGGTGGTTTAAGAGAGAATAGAATAAAGGCAGAGCGTTTACACTTCCCTTTCAGAGGATTTAGTAGAAGACCAGAGAGGTTAGACAAAGTTAAAAAATGAAAATGACCACGGAGGCGGAGAGGGGAGAAAAGGCAGTGGAAGGAGGGAGAAAAGAAGGATAAAAGAATTGTCTCAGTAATGAAAAAGGACTGCCGGGGAGATAGGAGGATGTTAAGGGGAAGAGGTGGGAGGGTGAGGGTGAGGAAAAGTAGGGAAATACGCAGAACGGGAGTGAGAGGTGAAGGACTTTCTTTCTCTGTTGTCAAGGGTGTGGGATCTAAACAGGAAGGAAGATGAAGTAGCAGGAAAACCACTTACTGTGTGTGTATCTCCGTAAGGTTAAAGGTGTGGGAGGATGAGGGGGGAGACGTGGGGGAGACGGATTTTTATTCAAAGGAAAGGCAGAAGACGAGACCACACGTTTTCAGAAAAACTATTTTCAGTCTGAGAGAAGACGAGACCAAACATTTTCAGAAAAACTATTTTCAGTCTGAGTCAAATTCAAATGACGACGAGAGAGGAGGAAGATGTTTCCTCTCTCTCCTCCCCTAACATCTCCCCCGTCTCCCCCGTCTCCCCCTCAACTCCCATTACTCGATCTCGATGCCGCTCCACCTTGACGGCCTCTCTGCTCAGTCCATCCTGGTCTCAGCAGCTTCTCTCACTCTGCCTCTTTTCTTCACCTCTTTTATTAACTGTCCACTCACCTCTGGATGTTGATGGCAGGTACTTGAACCCTCCACCCTCTGCTGCCTCCCCCCCCCCCCACTCCCACCCACTCCCCCACCTCACTCTTGTTTACACAGATGTGTGATGTCTGCCTCTTGACCTTCACTCCTCTTCACTCTGACGCTGATTGATTGTCAGTTACTTCCTTGTCGTCTCACCCGCTCTGCTCTTCCTCCACCCGACCTTCCCCCCCACCTTTTATCTGCGTTGACACATGCAGTACCAGTTGTAGCCAGAACCGCCGTAGTACGGAGCATGACACTCCAGGCGTACAAGTGTAAATTACCATAAACACCCTGTGATTCTACGTCCACGAAAGTCAATAATTGGGAGGAGAGGAGGCGTAGACGAGAGAGGGCGGAACCGCGGGGGTGAGGGCGGGGAGGGTGACAAATGTGAGCCGTGAGTAATGAGGGCATTGATACAGGAAATAAACCACAGTTTGGTGGAGGAGGGGTGATGGGGGGGTGTCAACAGTCGACAAACGCTGCGTTCACTGACAGTACGTCCACAGGTTGGTGTATTAACAAACTGTGGTTGTTTGGTTGGCAGTGGGCCCTCTGATTGGTCGATACTGTGGGACCAGGGTGCCTCCTGAGATCCAGTCGTCCACTGGGATTCTGTCCCTGTCCTTCCACACTGACATGGCCGTGGCCAAAGACGGATTCTCGGCCAGATACAACATGACGCACAAGGAAGTCACGGAGAGTGAGTACGAGTCCAAACCCTGACGACTTCACTTCCTGTTCCTGTGAGAACAGAGTCTGACTCCAACGACTCCAACTCTGTCCTCAGGTTTTCACTGCAGCAACGCCTTTGGGATGGAATCAGGGAAGATCACGGACGACCAGATCACGGCGTCGTCCAGTTTTTATGACGAGCAGTGGCTGCCGCGACAGGCCCGGCTCAATTACCGCGACAACGGCTGGACCCCCAACGAGGACAGCAACAGGGAGTATATCCAGGTGTGTACTCCTCACTTTACTGCAGTACATGGAGCTGAAGAGAGGTTCAGGTAGGAGGCCTCACAACCAGAGGTTCCTGAAAAACATTCGTATTCGATTGGCTCCATTTAATTGAATAATGTGTGACCAATCACGAACGACTCTGAAGGCTAATGCTAACAGGACAATATGTTTTTTTAAAAGTGAATCTGACTGTAAAGATTTTTACTACAGTTTTTACTACACTCTACTCTCTGACCTCATTTGGACCAAAGACTGAAGGGTTTTTTTTTGTAGCCTTTCTAGATCAGACACTCCATCGGGAATTTCCTTCCTTCCATTATCAGTCTGACCTCTGACCTTTAGCCTCTGGTGGTTTGGCTCCACACCTAAATGTGGAACAGACTGGTCTGTAATAATTACTGTCACTGACGTGTCAGGCTGCAGGTCTCAGTGTTCCAGGACAGAGTCCCAGTCAGACTACAGCGGGATTTCAGTGAAGAATGTAGATTAGATTAGATTAGATTAGATCAGATTAGATTAGATTAGATTAGATTAGATTAGATTAGATTAGATTAGATTAGATCATATTAGCTGATCTGATCTGATTCTGCTGCTGCTGGGAACACTGTGACACCTTTTGTCAGAAATGTGTCACGTGTTTCTGTGTCACGGTGGTCACCGACGCTGTGGTCAGGTGGTGGCGCTCCACAGACGTTCTCAGCTGTTCCTCTGCTCTGACACACAACAGCAGAGCAAAGTGTTTATTGGTTACAAGTCTCACAGCTCCTGTGCTGACCAACAGGTGTGTGTGTGTGTGTGTGTTTCTCTCTCTGTGCTGTAGGGGAGCTAAAATTAACTGAGTGCTAAGTTGGAAATTCTCTCCCCTCCTCTGATTGATTCTTTCCTCTCTACCTTCTCCTGTCCTCTCTGCTCTCCTCTGCACTTGATTCAGTTCAGTTCTGTTCAGTTCAGTTCTGGTCCACTGTGCTGTGGACTGATGCTCTCAGCTCCGTTGGTTCCATTATTCTGTGACTGATGAAGAACCTTTCCAAGAAGCCCTTGATTTGCATCTCTCTCTCTCCCCCTCTGTCTCCCCCCTCACTCCCCCCTCGTCTGTTCCTCTCCTTGGTCTCGGACTATTGATTAGTTGTCCTGGTGGATCTTTGTCTTGCCCTTAGCATGTAAGCTCGTGTGTGTGTGTGTGTTGGTGTGTGTGTGTGGGAAGTAATCTCGGACACCTGTCCCTGTGACAGATAACAACAAACACAGCGTTTTACCTCCCCCGGTGTTCTGTACTTTACATCGTAGCAGGACACACATTAACACACACACACAGTGTTCCTCACACACAACAACTCCAGATTAATCTACAGCGCCCCCTGCCTACACCTCAGTACCTACAGTAAAACCCTCTTCATTTTCTGTCTCACTCGTCTCATCACTGTCAGAGTCAAACCTCAGTCTGTTCAGTCCTGGTGACTCAACTTGTGGCCCACGGGCCAAATCCAGCCCGCCAAACTGTCCACTAAGGCCCACGACTGTATTTTAAAATCAAAATCAATCATCATCATTTTATTTCATTTAGTTTAAATGTCAGGAGAGAAAGATTCTGACTCTGAACAAATACTTTTGTTTTTGTGATGTGGTGAGACTGAAGTCAGAGCAGCGATAGAACGATGTCCTCTGAAGGGGACACATGTCAGTGCTTTGATAACGACCCGCTCCTCCTGACCAACAGGTGGACCTCCATACTCTAAAGGTGCTGACGGGCATCGCCACCCAGGGCGCCATTTCTAAAGAAACCGAGAAGACGTACTACGTCACCACCTTCAAGATTGAGGTCAGCACCAACGGCGAGGACTGGATGGTCTACAGACACGGCAAGAACCATAAGGTAGGCGCCGAGCCGTGCACCGAGGACACGCCCCTGAAATGTGTGGTCATTTAAGAAGTTTTGATGGTCAGCGGTGCCTCAGCAGTTCTCCCACGTGCACACGCTGCGCTGACATATGAGATGGAACATTTGCAGCGTGAGTCGACCACAAGCCCAAATTTCACTCTGCGTCTGCAATTAAAGCCATTTCAGCTCAGCTCAGCTGGCTTAATTTAGAGGTTTTTACGATGGAGCCAAAATCAGCGCACGTTTCCGAGCTCCCGGTGATTCCTTACATCATTGTAGGGCGACTGCGTTTACACTGCTGCACATGTCCAACATCTGGTTCCTCTTACTCACTGTGAAGTTCTGACCTGTTTGGACGGATTTCTAAGCTGTTAGTCCCAGAGGTGTGTGGGGGGGTGGGGGTTTGATGTGTCACCAGAGAGTCTGCGTCAGCGGCGGGGCGAGTCGAGGTGAACGGTTGTGAGGACCTGTAAAATGATTTGGACTGTAATGAGGACGGCGTTCCAGTGGTTTGGGATATTTTTCCGTCCAGATTGTTCCCAGACCTCTGAACACATTCATGCTGCGGTCTGAGCGTGTGCTGCTAACGCCGACTCCTTAATTAACACCTATTAAGTCACACAACCATTAAAGTATATTCATATCTGCTTTTAGAGCGTCAGGGAAACTCTAGGCTTCACCTCTGGACAGCAGCCCACATCGCCTCCCAGATGGATGGGAACCGTTGGGATGTGAGAGCATAAAGATTTATATTTACGTTTAATGGTCATGTTAGAATTCTGATCTTTTAACGGCTCCTGTAAAAGGGCTGTGTATTTAAAAAGAATCTGGCGGGACGATACGTATCACGATACAAGATCGTTTGACTCAAAAGACAACTAGTGGTCAGAGGTTTTAATGCAACACAAAAATAAACCAATGCTGATTGTTAATTTAAAAAAGATACACTGCTGTAGAATATTGCAAAAATAAACCAACGGCATTAGTATTTTTATGCTGATTGTTAATTGTAAAAAAAGATACACTGCTGTAGAATATTGATACAGTATCAATACTGCAATACTTCAGTGTATCAGTATATTTTTATATGGAGTAAACAGGAGCTGTGAATACAGGCAGTCAGTTGTTTTTTCTCTACAGACAGAATTTCACTGAGGAAAAAAAAAGATAAATAAATACTGTACGTTCCAGGGGACGTGCTGTTGTCACTACCCATAATTCCTCTTGATTCTCATATTGCTCTGAAACACTGCTTAACGTCGCTGCTCCAGTTAAATTCAAGCACACTCAGAAGTGTGTCTTCGTGCCTGCGCATGTGAACGTCAGAAACCTTGAGGAAAATCAAGAGGAATTATGGGTCGTCACAACAATTATTCCCAAGGAACAGAACTATTTATCTGTTTTCTCAGTGAAAATCCGCACATTTAGAGCAGCTCTGTGGACAGAGGGGAGTCAAAAAGTTCTAAGACTAAATTAAAACCGTCTTCTAACAAATTCTAACACTTTCCATCACAGAACTTTGACCCCAGGTCATCACCTGCTTCTGCCTCATCACAGACTAAAATATAGTTGTTTATATACAGTGTATATATATAATATATAGTCACTTTAGGCAGAAGGAAAACGCTCAGACGTGAGTTTTTTTCTTCTTGTCAGACTTGGTCTAAAAATGTGATCTGAAATGTGTGCTCTGATTCCAAAATAGTTCATGCTTGACGGATGAAAAATCTGATCAAACAAAAGGTCAGCAGCTCAACACCTGGAAAAGACATAACGAAAAAAAAACATGTCAGAGCTGCTGAGAAACCGCTCTGAACAGAGACTAAAATCAGACGCTGGAAATTATACAACATATAACGTTTTGACCTGTCGATGGCAAGACAAGATTAGGCTGCTTCAAACTGTAGAACCAGGACTTTCTAATGGACAAGGTAGAAGATGGAACAGAGTTTTACAATGAATTAAAACCATAATATGAATTAAAGTCTCATTAATAAACTTCAGAGAAGACCAAACCAGTTGCACCGATGCCTGAGATTTCTGGTCCAACCCACTGTCCTCACTGTTCTACAGCGGTGAAGACAGAGGAGGCTCAACATCTGGACTGGGTTACAGTAGTTTAGTTGTAACGTCTCGGTGCTATGGGTTCAGTCACGCCGTAAACGTCAGCGTAGCCTCCACCTGTTTCCCTAAACCCTCATGATTCTTGGGTCTGTGGGGGAGAACGTGTGTTCGTGGTTGGAGAGAAACCCCAATCACTCAGCGCCACCTGTCAGCTGGATCTTTGGGCGCTGTTTTATGCCTCAGGTGTGCGCGCCGCTGCATCTGCATCCACACTATAACTCACAGAAATGTTTTTTTCTGTAATTGTGAGCAGATTCCTGACGGTGTCTTGAAGGCATCATTTGTGTTTTTGTTCAGATGATAAATCTGCCCGACAGCCTTCACGCACTCTTTATTTATTGCGTTGCGTCAACTCGCTGATATTCCGAGCCGTCGTTTTCATCCATTCAACCTCTCGCCGCTCTCTTCACATCTTCACTCGCCTGATTCGTCAGGCCTTAATCTCCTTCCCATCGCAGCGCTCTGCCCTCCCCGAAGAATTCATCACTCAGTTCTGCCTCCTCTCCGTGTGTTCAGAAAGTCAGCGAGGAATAGAGACGAACAACTGGTCCACAGGCCTGTCTGACAGACCAGAGTCTGAGTGAGGGAGAGAGGAAGACACACACGGAGAGAGGAAGAGTAGGATTAGACTGTGTACTGCACTGCACTGTACTGTACTGTACTGTACTGTACTGTACTGTACTGCCCTAATTCTGATTTTAACTCCAAACCACATTCTTAAATCTTGACCTTCACATGACCCTCACGTGAGACGATATTTGTCCAAAAATGTCCCTGTGTTCCCACGACAACGGGACATTTCAAACAAATGGCTCCACATGTACAGTTAAAGCAGAAAAAAAAAACAGATATTTTTTTTAACATAAACCTAATGAATCTCCCAGACCGTCATAAACCTAATCTTAATCCCGGCCACAACTCTAATCTGACATTTATGTCAAAACACTGTGTCCCCGCAAGTATACATATACCAGAAATACACACTAAATATCACACACACACACTGCAGGAGTCCAGCCCAGGTGGGCGTGGCCTGTGTCAGCCAACATCACCGTGATTGGTGTGATCTGTAATGTATTTAATAAAGTCATTAAAGGCTGTCGTGGCCCAGATGGGCCATGTGGAATATATGTTGACTTCAGACCTGGTCTGAGGGAAAAAAGAAGAAAAAGTCATGTTCACACACACACACGCACACACTACACACACTCACTGCAGTAGGAGACAGAGCCTCGTCCACGTGTCCTCTCTCCGTGTCCTCACGTCTTCTCCTCATCATCAGGTCACGATCGATCACAGCAGTTATGACGCCTGGAGTTTTAGGTTTTTGGTTATTTGTTTTAACCATCTGCATTAGTGTAAAAGTCTGATGATTTAGTGAGTAAAACGACCAAAGCTGCGTGTTCTGAGAGGCTGCCCACATGAAATGACCTTTAACCTCAGAGGGACAAATGAGTTTGTCTGAGTTTTAGATTTTTTTATTTCTTGAGGTCGTGTAAATTCTGCCCCACTGACGAAGCTGTCTGTGGTCATTACCCTGGACCTCGGCCAAGACCAAGACCAAAACCTCCTATTCCCACCTTAATCTGTGGGAGGGAGGACGGAGGGAGAGGGAAGCGAGGGAGGCAGGGAGACGTGGGAGGAAGGATGGGAAGGCAGAGGAATGGTGATGAGGAGAGAGTGAAATATGGGCTTTGGAAAAAGAAAAAAAAAAAACAGGACAAAAGGTCAATCATTAAAGCAACCAGTGGATGGAGGTTACGGGGGAGGGAGGGGGGGGTGAACAGATTGATACAAAGGGAGGGTGGGAGGGAGACACCAGGGGGAGGAAAGTTCACAGGAAAAAAAATGAGTAAGGAAATTAGGCAGCGGGGAGAAAAGAAGTGTTCACCAGGGGAACGCCGAGACGATGGATGGATGGATGGATGGATGAGGGAGGGAGGGAGGGAGGGAGTCAAGGGGGTGAGAAGGGGTAATGACAAAAGCAGGCGAGGGTGTTGACCAGACGTCCCTGTGGACGGATCAGAAGTCCCAGCACCGGAGTCTGAAAAGGAGAAGGAAATGAAATGGCAGGAGTCAGGGAGGTGAGGAAAAGGGAGGAGGGGGGAGGGAGGTCTGAGACCAGTGAATCATTCATCCAGACGGTGCTGGTCCAGATCAGCTGACGGACCAGGTGAACACTGGTTCAGGTTCTTTTCATATGTGTTTGTTTTTGGAAAATGCATGTGAAGCATCGTCCACTCAGGTGTCGTCTTCATGTTTGTACGTCCACAGGTGGAAACTTCAGACCCTGAACACACACACACACCTGCACACACACACACACACACAGACAGCTGTCAGGTGTCAGGTGTCAGGTGTCAGGTTGGGTCCATTAGCTGATCACTGTTGAAGCCTTTAAGTTTAGATTGAATGAAAGTGTGTAAAACCTGGATGATGCCACGTATCCTCTTTCACTCCCCCACTGCAGACTCTCCCCCCGGGGGAGGGATTGTGTTTAATCTGTTGTCATAAACAAAGAACTTGTTAAAGTGTGATTCTGTCTCAACGGAGTGTTTAGGTTTTTTTTTTTCAAGAAGGAGAAAAAAATGCATCAGCGCGACAGTAAATACAGATGAATACATGCAGTAAATATATAAAGACCAAAGGCGTTTCATTTTATATTGAGGTTATTTAAATAATAATATTGAACAAAAATGTGATTTTTATATTTCATTTTATTTGAGTGACAGTCATTCCTAAAATAATCAATCAACGTTACATTTTAGGTCACATGATCTGTGGACCAGATCACGAGGAGCCGGTACTCTCCTCAGTTCCATTTGTGACTTTTAGGTCAAACCTTGTCGTCCGTCTTTGTGTCCGACCCTGGACAGAACCAGGGGTGTGTTCTCTGCCCCGACGGCACGGTTAGCTCCGCTCCAGAACGTCGGAGAGATCATTTTTCCTGACACTTCATTTTTAAGATAATGTTTGTGTGCGGCCGTGAAGTTGTTCTTCCACTGATGGTGCGACGGGACATTAGGCAGCGGCGGAAACACGGTCGACGAGTGCGGTGTTCCCTGACCCCGAACCAAGACACCAAGAGTACTGCAGTAAAACACACCAGGTCCATGGTTAAATACATATTGTTAAAATATTTTGTGTGTGTGTGTGTGTGTGTGTACATGCCGAGCACATATCTCTGTGTGTGTGTGTGCATTTCCTGAAGAAACGTCTCCGTGTGCATCAGGGGAAATCAGAAAACACCCGCCAGCCCCAAAACCCTAAGAGTGCGACGTTCTATAATTACACTGTTACACGCTGACACGCAGCCACAGCTAGACACTCACTCACCAGTGTGCAGACATGCACACACACTTGTAATTACAGTCTACCACCACAATCCCATTAAGTCTTTCACGGCCTTTGGGTGTTTTTTTTTTTTCTCCCATCATTTACCAGGTCACACTCGTTGGTATTAAGGCCATCGCTTCCACACAACTTCGCTGGGTTTCACTTACTCTCCTCCACCGACTGAGTTGCAGGTTCAACTCCCTGCAGGCGTCCAGCAGCGTGTGTCGTGTTTCCTGGCTTCCTCCTCTTTGTTTATATTTTGCGGTTGTTTAAGACACAAACATCACCCAGAGAGAGAGGAACATCTATAAACGAGTAACCAAGCAAGTAATTGCAGTTGGGTGTTAGCGTGAGCTGAACGAGGTTTACTGTTCTGTGTAACAGACACACTGCATTGTGTTTGCAGCACAATGGAGAGAGTCTTCAAGGAGCACGGGGAAAACAGCCTTTGTGATTTTTCTAATGGATTTTTTCCCCCTAAAATTTTTTTTAGTGGTGAAGAAAAAGAAGGATATAGAAGATGGGGAGAAAAAGAGAGAGAGAGAGAGAGGGAGGGGGGGAGAAAATGAAATAATAGTGGAAAAAGCAGAAAGCTGGTTCTGTTCTACGGTTCTGATCCCGACAGGAGTTCCAGTCTGAGAGTGATGACAGTCTGTGGCTCAGAGTGAGACGTTGGAGGACGACTGAAGACGGGGGTCTCTCCACAGGCGACGCGTCCACTCTCTGTGTTTCTGTCCATTTTAAAGTCATTTTGTGATTTGTGTTGGGCCTCAAGACGAGGCTGTGGAGAGGGGGAGGGAGAGATGGAGAGGGGGAGGGAGGGGGAGATGGAGAGAGGGGGAGGAGGAGGGAGAGTGTGTGGATTTGCACACAGCGCGGTG